TTTTATTTTCTTTTGGTAATGTGAATAGTCTAGCAAAAGGATAGCAATAAGGAGGGGGTAGCACTAGGAACAATTCTTAAAATTGTCCCTAGGGGTAGCCAGAGAGAAGAGGAGATAGCCTGTCAAAATGTTATGTAATCCAGAAGAGTGGAAGGCTAAAATTTTTGACCCCGCATGGTACTTCCAACTTTATAACTTTAAAGAATTGACTAAGAAAATAGAAGGAAAAACTGGACACCAGGACGATGGTGGAGATACAGCTAGCATGGAAAGACAGGATGGAAAGGTAGACAGATGGAAAGGAAAGACATGGAAAAGTAGAAAGAAAGAAGTAGATGAGGAAGCCTTCAGATTTTGCTCTGGATTTTCCATTTGATCTCTTCATCCCCAAATGCTTAGGTTTCTTCCAGCTCTAATAAATTATTTTGATCTATAATACCTTACTTGCGGGACTTCAAAAGGAGCAAGAATTGAAACTTTGGACGTAAGATACAGAAAAACACAAATTGCTTTGAGTTCTGGGGTCATGAGATTGCAGAATACCCAAGGTGAAGGTTCTTGCTTGTTTTCCACATCCTCTCTACCCCCATCCCCAACCACTGTGTCTAACATAACACCTCACTCTTATAAATAAAATAACTACAGGTGACATCAAGGGAAGCAGGGGAGACTTCTCCTCCTGGGTCAGTTTCTCTGTTCCTCATTTCTATGACAGAGCAGGGTCTGCTCGTGGATGTCATATGTTCTTTGTGTTCTGTGACTATACTATGTCAGAATGTGCACCCCTACAGAAGAAACCTCCTTAGGTCTGCAGAAACATTAGGCTTATTCCTCTTGTCCCCAAGCATCATCCTGCCTTGAAGGGGTGACCTCCCACATTTCCTGATGAATGGCTCCACTGGTGTCCTTGCAGATCTTAATCTTGCTAATACAGTGCATTAAACTTATCTTCTTTGATGTACTTTTGTTTGGAAAGAAATAACCCCATCTTTATGTATTTCTGTCAGTGATTTAGAGCACACATTCTGTTGCTTCCAATCATATTATATTGGCATGCCTGGATGCTTAGGGTCCGTTCATATTGCCTCTGGGTTACTGACTTATCACAGGACATCTCACTAAAAAAAAAAAAAAGCAAAGCTGTTAACAGACTTGGAGTTTCTATTTTCATATCTTTTGAGGAAAAAAAAAACCCTATTGAATGTGTCTTCAGACTCTTTCCAGTGGCTCTCAGGCCATCTTGTCTGCTCCACCTTTGTCTATCTCTTCTTCCTTACTTCAGAATATCTTCTTCTTCCTCCCTTCTCCCTTTCCAGTTCTTCCCTGATCTGTTTCTCCCAGCCCCTGTTTCCCTTCCATTAACTCCACAGTCAGCAGTTTGGCTTCCTGGCAGCTAGCAAAGAGGATTAAAACATGCGTTGCTTTCTGCCCCTTTCTCTACAGCATGGAATCAGAATTTTACCTTGCAACCAGAACAGGAGAGGGCAGGAAAAGCATTCAACCCTGCAGCTTCCTAGATCTCCAGGCATTCAGCAACCTAGATTTGCTCTGCTTTAAAAATCTCACCCAGCATTCAAAGTCGTTAAGAAAATAGCATCTAAATCACCTTCCCGGAACCTGAGATGGAGAGGAGTTTCAACATCCTTTTCCTGTTTTTCAGCGGAGAAACTTGTGTTTGGGGAGGATGCATGTTTTGTAATAAGATCATGAAGAGACGTAGTAAGATCATGGGATAGTTAGCTTTAAGGGTCATGATTCTCAGCCTCAATGTATCCTACTAAGCCCTAAACTCCAAAAATAGTCTTTTTTTTTTCTTTCAAGATTCAGGCTCCACAGGGACCTCAGCCTGAGGGCACATGGTATATTTTCTTAACCAGCTGACCACTTCATAGGCCGAGATAATTGCAATTGTATGAGTAGCAGTGAGCCCATGAACAGCGTGCAGGGTGCCTCACAGTTCACCAGTCAGTATGGGCCCCAGCCCAGCCATGGAGGTAGACCTGAACACTATAACACTATAAATACGACATCCCAGACCCCACTCCAGATCTACTGAATCAGAATCTATTTTTTTAATCCCTGAGGAATTTATATGCAAAATAAAATCTGAGAAGTACTTTATTGTACAAATTGAGAAAATTCATTTTCTCACTTAATGAAGTAATATTATCATAATGATACATGAAATGCACTTTTTCTTCCTTCTTTTTTTGCTGTGATGTAACTGTCCCATAAAAACAGCATTGCAGATAGTGAAGATAAACCCCCACATTCCAGAGGGTGGACATGTTGTCTTGTAATTCCCCATGAAGAGGCCAGGATCCTACTCACGCAAATGCACATGGGCTTCTCCCTTGTTTGAAGCCATCCCTTCCTGATTTGCCAGTCGGTCAACACTTCTAAGTCATTGACATTCATGGGTGCCTCCTTTTCAGGGGCTTTCAAGGCAGTTGGCTGAGGTCCATCATGCAGCATGATCTGAGTCTTTGTCATTCTCCCCAAGGAAAGGGAAGCGGTGATGCTGCCTGAGACTCCAGTCAGGCCCTCTGCAGGTAGTTCCTATGTTTGGTTAAATGCAGTACATTTTCAACACTTGTGACAAATACTCTGTAGTACATTTTCAAAAATAATAAAGTCATAGTAGTGGAAAGCCAGACCTCCCTTCCTACCACATTTATTCACTTCAGAAAAGGTGAAGTGGCCAGGCTCGGTGGCTCAGCCTATAATCTCAGCACTTTGGGAGGCCAAGGCGAGTGGATTGCCTGAGTACATATGTTCGATACCAGCTCGGGCAACTTGGCAAGACCTCGTCTCTACAATAAATCAAAGCTTAGCCGGGTGTGGCAGCGCATGCTTGCAGTTCCGGCTACTTGGAAGGCTGAGGCAAAAGGGTCACTGGAGCCTAGCAAGTCTACACTAGGATGGCCATGAGTGTGGCACTGTACTCCAACCTGGGCGATGGAGTGAGACTCCAAATAAAAAATAAATAAATAAATAAATAAAAGGCGATTCTGGAAAGTTGTACTGATGCTTCTGATTTCATCATTGTTAATACTTTAAAGTGTTTAGATTGGTCAACTGACGATTTTTCTTTGTTACATTTCCTAGAATAAATAATCTCAGAATCAATCCCTTTTAACTATGATTTCTGTAATTCTAAGAGAAATAAGGAATAAGATGAGAAGGTGTTTGCATTCCTCTAATGAACCTTGAAGTGTCAGAATATGAACTAGCCTGGATAATTACTAGCCGGTTGGTATAAAGGACTTCGACCCAGCAGCACCACTTTAAGGCCTCAGCAGATGGTTCAGGAGGCCTGTGCTCTGAAGCATCGTCCTTGAAACTGTCTAGTTCCAAGTTGTGTTTATACCACATTTTTTAATCTAGTAGTTCCTCTCTGGTGCCTGGGATTATCGGGAGCCAGCAATACCACTCAGAAGAGGGACTAAGATCCTAGGCTGGGAATCTGTCAGCCATTGCTCCAGGTCCCATATGTCCCCTTCAGAGGGATCTTCTACCCTACCTTTCAGCCACTCCTTACATGGGTTCAGCCAGATTTCCCAGTGACTCTGACCCTCACACCTGTGGGCTTGTCTTGGGGCCCTGTCACCAGATCCAGGTTCCAGGAAGGTGGCTGGGCAAATGGACTACTACCATTGGCCAATGCAATATTTCTTCCATGGAACTGCACAAGATTGAGTTATCAGAAAGATGCTGATTTGAGGTGACTTATTTTTGTAGATAGGTTGGTAGCCAGCATCTAGACACTGACAGTACAACCTGGGTGGTATGAGATGGAGGTAGAGAAGGCAGTGTGAGCCAGAAAGCAATGGTCTGGGGAAATGGACAGGGTGGGTGGTGGAAGCTCCCTGAGGCTTAGGCCTGCATTAGAGTCAGGGTGCTAAAGTACGAATTACTCACCTCCATATTCCCTGCCCACTGGCCCACCCCCACAGGCACTCCAGCTTCCTGCACAGCACCCTAGGTAGACTCAGCCTTGATTGAACAAGCACTCGTTGGATCAGCACATGCTTCCACAAGGTTGTGGGGAAAGTTATAATTTTTGTCTTGAAAAGTAATTTAGCTCAGGCCACAAGCCTATAAGAAGTGCAAATGGCTGTGCCTTCTCCTTGGGCTTTATATTGGTTTTCATAGGAGCCAGGTATTGTGACAGAACATGGAACATTTGTGTTTGAAGACTGTGGGTCTGTTTACTTCGCATTGAACCACAGGGAGCAGAATAAGGGGTAAGGTAGTAGGGGAGATTGTTATCAGAGCTTGTAATGGTTGCTTGAAAGCAATGCAAATTTTTCAGCTCCAGAATATTTTGGATCATGAATTGTAAATTTCACAAGCACCTGAGAATAAATTCCCCAGAATGCTCCACAAATTTGGGTATTAAATCCATGAGTCTGTTCTAGTAACTGCAGATCCAACATTTTGGGCTATCACATTTATTTTATGTTGGCAAATGTTTACTGGGCACCTATTACAAAGCAATCCTTCCTCATTCATTCATTCATTTTTACTCTCTTCTCTACCATAGGTTGAAACCGGACCAACTGCTTTGAAATTATCTGTGTTAAAATGTAAAATGTCTAAAAGTAGTACATTTTAAAAATGTAAAATGTCTACATTTCTACATTGTGAAAAATTAAAATGTTTTTCATAATAACATATCCTAAACTTATTCTTTACTTCTGTTATGTTCTTTATCATGGCAATTCTCTTTAAAATATCCAAGTTTAGTAATGTTCTGGGGTATTTATCATCCACTCTCTTAGTTAATCCTCATTATATTCACTTAAGAAAAATATGATATCTCTTTCTTATCAGATACTCTTTAAAAGTTAAAGTGACTTGCCTGAAAATACATTGATCCAAGATCAAGCAGAGTTTCTTTCTTCAGTCGCCATAATTTTTGGCCAACTTGGTGCGCTGTATCCTTGATTTGATGTTCAAGCCCCATGATTATGACTTTTCCTCTTCTGTCTCCTATAGTCTCTAGCTGTGAACATGGTTCTGTCCCTGATTTCACAGTTGTGTGACTGTTTGCTGTCTTCTTCTTTCTTCCCAGAAGGCCAGGTCTTTGTAAGTGAGGATGAATATCTGGAGATCTCTGACATCAAACGTGACCAGTCTGGGGAGTATGAATGCAGCGCCTTGAATGATGTGGCTGCACCTGATGTGCGGAAAGTAAAAATCACTGTAAACTGTGAGTTAACCTGCAGTCAGGGAGTTCCAGGGAAAAAGAGGGTACAGACGTCAAGGGAACACACTGGTGACAGCAATGCCATTTTCTGAAAGACCCAAGCTGCTGCCAACAGGAAAATGCATTATCAGATTGCTTTGTCCCATCATTGTCTCCAAGTCATTTGTCCCTGGAGTCTTCCTGTGACTGTCAGAACTTTCAGTGAATGGAGACAATTATTAATGTAGAATTGGTTTGAAGGCCTGAAGAAGATGTTGGGGTAAATTAAATATATTCAATCAAGTTCGTTTCCTAAAATAAATGGTTATCTCACTGGAAGAGAGGGTTGTCACACACACACACACACACACACACACACACACACACACACACACAAAATCTACTTATATAGCAAATGGCTGAATGTGTCCTTCATAGCTTTCATGTAATCACCCTGTGTGTATGGTGTTGTTTTTTTTTCTTTCTCTCCCACAGATCCTCCTTATATCTCAAAAGCCAAGAACACTGGTGTTTCGGTTGGCCAGAAGGGCATCCTGAGCTGTGAAGCCTCTGCTGTCCCCATGGCGGAATTCCAGTGGTTCAAGGAAGATACCAGGTACCTTGAAAATGGAGCTTGGGAAGGAGGATGATGAAGGACAGGGGAAAGATAAGGCCAAACAGAAATGCATGAAAGCCTCCTTTGTAATAGTCTCCCTTAAGAACCAGAAAAAAAATTAGAGGAAGCTGGGGAGTAGACAGAAAGAAAAGATCTTGTATAAGAATCCAGGCTTAGCTGGAGACATGCCAATCTTTGATGACTAGAAGCCAGCAAATGTTCTGTGTTGAACATGATTATCCTTTCTGTGGTTCTATTGATGAGTAATCTTAGGGTTTGAGTTAGAGGGACAGGTTAGTTAAAGGGTTTTGTGAGGAGGATGACCTCTCTGTGGGATTAATCTATGGCAGTTTTGGGTCTTCTCAGTGCCTCCTGTCTGGTGTTTCAGTCTGTGTGTGGAGTCAGACTGGCAGTACCTTTTCTGTTGCAGGTTATCCACTGGCCTGGACGGAGTGAGGATTGAGAACAAAGGCCGCATGTCCACTCTGACTTTCTTCAATGTTTCAGAAAAGGATTATGGGAACTACACTTGTGTGGCCACAAACAAGCTTGGGAACACCAATGCCAGCATCACATTGTATGGTGAGTGCAGAAAGCCTGAATGCAGTGGTCTCAGTCACATGGAGGGCTTAAGGGACTCAGGAGGGAGGAAGGCACAGATCTGCTATGCCTGTGTCTGTCCATCCTGCTCAACCTACCAGCCTTATATAAGAAATACTTCTCTTTGTCACCACCCTAGCATGTGGGAGAGTGATGTTTGCAAGGAAACTGATATGTCCTGACCATCAAAAAGCAAGGTTTGTCCTTACGAAACAAATGAACCAAATTCTGAATGAAATTGATTGGCGGTTACATAAAGAAAATGTCCATGACCATCGGTCAGTTCAATTTAGTACTATCTAAAGTTCTGTGGGATAAATTAAGTATAATTTTAAGATGTCTTCTACAGTCAGAGTCTATGATTTGGGGTGCTATATTTGTAGTTCTAAACCAAGCCAACTGCTGCCATCATGATTCTCACGTTGATTGCCATATCATGTTCTCACTCATTGGGATGAATGGAACAGCAGTCTGAGTCCTCTTCAGATGACTGTTCTATCCACAACTGGAACGTCAAACCTTCTCTGAAGGGAAAGATCTGTCCAAGATGGAGACGTCTCAGGAGCCATGATTGACCTCACCCTCATTCCACCTTCCCATACTGCCATGTCCATATCCTTGTGCAACATTTCACAACATGGGCCAGGGCCAGCTTGCTATGATATTTTATGTGTGTATGTATTTGTTTCTTTGCCAAGGTTTGGTTAGAGGGAAGCATCTGATGAGTAGGATGAAGAGGTACCCACTTTTCCATGTGCACCTCAGACCCTGAGCAAGCTTTCAGCCCCGACATTAACTAAATTTTGTCCACCAACCATCTGAAATGTGTGATCTATGTCTTTTGTTTTCTCTCTGCATTGTGTGTGCATTGTGCTGTGTGTGTCTTAGAAATAAGCCCCTCATCAGCAGTGGCAGGTGGGTACAGCATGTTCCTTCCTTCCTCTGCCTGCCTGAATGCCTATGCTTTTGAATTTCAGCCTACTTCAAAGATAGGCTTGCCTGCTCCACCTCCCTGATTTATTTCTCTGTAGTGAATAGGCTTCAAGGGGCTTGGTTTGCACAGTTTAGGTAACAAGCATGTAGAATATGATGGCTTTCACAAGCAAACTTATGGAATATCATTGTAGCTTTCAAGGAAAGGGATTTTTGCCCCCAAAACAATAAACTTGTACTTGGTTGCCTTTAATAAAGATGCACATTCTGCTGTTTCTACACACAGCAGCACAGAGAGCAACCTATCCCAGAGACCAAATGGATTATTAGATGACTGTCTCCGTGGAGAAGTCACCCTAGTATGAATGTTTTATTCTTTTAGCCCAAGGCAAAGAGGGCTAATGATTTAGTTCTAAAAACTTTATTTTAAAATAGAAGTATTTGGGATCATTATTTGTAATGGTAATATCTACTATTTACCAAATATTTACTGGTTTCTAGGCATCATATCAGTGCTGTATAAGACAGGTTATTAACCCCATTTTATAGATAAGTAAAAAGAGGATCAAAGAGCTTGTCGCTAATGAAAAGGCACTGGACGACACTTAGAAATGAACTCCTTCATCTGGCACTGGAGTATTTGCCCAGAGCAGAAGCAGATACACACACACACACACACACACACACACACACACACACACACACTTACTCACTCACTTACTCATACATTTAGATGAAGCAGCAGCTAGTCCTCAGCTTCACTTCCAGAGATAGAAGACACTTAGCCCTACTGTTCTAAGATGTCAATCTCAATTACATACAAAGTGATGACATTTGAATTTTTTAACTCTGGAATCAGTTCTGTACTGTCACTGCTCATAGCTCTTAATCCAGGACACTCATAGACATATAACCCTGCTTACACGTTGATGACCAGGAATAGCCATCCCTTGGTCTTGATAAAACTGAGAGAAGAGGGGAAATTCAGGTGTTGCCCTGCCACTGACCTGCCGTTATCTCCCTTGTTAAGGGGGTTAACAGTGGCAGAGAATATGTTCAACAGAATGGCCTAGGACTGACAACCAAATGACCCTTCTTGTCCTTTTCTGCCATTAACCAAAGAAAGAGATGTGTCATAGCAGATGATAGTCAATATACACCAAGATTGTCTTAGTCTGCTCAGGTTGCCATAACAAAATACCCCAAATTAGATGACTTAAAATAACAGACATTTATTACCTCACAGCCCAGCAGGCTAGAAGTACAAGATCTAGCCAATTCGGTTCTGGTGAAGACCCACTTCCTGGCTTGTAGACGGCTGCTTTGTTCTCACGTGGACTTTCTTCTGAGTGCTCATGAAGAGAGAAAAAGTGTCTCTTCTGTAAAGGACACTACTCATATTGGATCAGGGTCCTATCCTTATGAATTCATTTACTCTGAATGACTTCTTTATGGGTACCACCTTAAGTTTAATCATATGGGTAGTTAGGGCTTCAACATAAGAATTTGATGGTAGGGTGGGGATTGGGGACACTATCCAGTCCATAGCAAAGACATAAATTCACACCCCAATTCATGTACATATCAGCCACTTAAACCTGTTTAGCCTTCCTTTCCTCATATATGCTATTGGTATGTTAACATTTACCTCAAAAGGCTAGAGATGGGCTTAAATAAGATTATATACATAAAAAGTCCCATAAATGCTATGCTTAAATAAATGACTTTGATAACAAACAAAGATTGCTTGTTTCAATTTACTCAGTTGAATAGGCTATATTTCCTGGCCCTCTGACATAAGATTGTCTTGTGAATTATCAATAAGATAATACTCATCAAAGTGGTGTGCAGGATACTATGATTCCTATCAGTACTTGTCAACACTTTTTTGTGACATGGTCCATCCTGTCACTGCCTTTCTCCATATGCTTGCCAGAATCGTTGCTCAACTGGAGCTCTTTTCTTTCTTTCAAAGTCCCCTGTGCTCTGTATGTCAGCACCCACCAATCCCTTTAATTTACCTTATCTCACTTCACCTGGTTAGCGTCCACTGGCTTTTCAGCACCCCTTCCTGAAGAAAGCTTTTCCTGATCTCTCTGAGCAGATCAGTGCCCTCATTACACACCCTCTCATACCTTGCTTCTGACTGCTGCACTCACACAGTGCATTGACGAGCATTCACTTAACATAATATATGTTCAGAACCTGTGACAAGCCAGGCCCTGTTCTAAGTGATAAAAAGGCAGCAGTGACTCAACAGATAGACTCCTTGTTTCTATTCGTTGCCTTCTAGTAGCAATTTTTCTTTTGTTTAATTTATTTAGCTTGTTTGATTAAAGTCTTTCTTCCTCTTTAGCCTATAAGCTCCATGAACATAGGTACCATGCCTCGTTTGATTCTCTAGGATGTAATACAGAGATCTACACACAGCAGCTGGTCAGGAAGACTTTGTTGAATGAATGAATGCATGAGTATATGCGGGGATGGAAAGGTTGTTCTGGCAACATCAAAAGTTCAGCTGTTAGAAATTGAAATGTGACAGCACAGGGTAAGGGATATATGTCTCAGAGGGGCTTTGAGGTCAGGCTATGATGCTTGCTGGCTGCATGGCTTTAAGAAAGTCAGTCTCAATGGGCCTGTTGTTGTTGTTGTTGTTGTTGTTTGGTTTTTTTAAATCAGTGAAACATCTTGAAAAAGATGTTTTTCGCAGTCCCCATAAAGCTCAATTCTTTGATTCTGTGACTGAGTGGCATTAGCTTCAGCACAAGATCAGATAGTGTCCAATTGACCCACTCTTTCTCCTGGCTAGGATTATTCTTCCTGGTATTCAATGCCTCCATAATTATGGCTAATTATTACCAAACATTTACTGTTTACAGGGCCACTAGACTAAGTGCTTTGCATGTTTTATCTCCCCAATGACTATGAAGTAAGCACTATATTTATCCTGATTTTATACATGAAGAAATTGAGAGGCTAGGCAGATAACTCAAATCACACTGGCTTATCAGAGCTTGAGCTGGGATTTGAGCCTATGTACTTTGATTCCCGTGCCTGAGCACTTCACCACTATTGCAGTCCAACTCATAATACTTGGCAACCCATTATGAATGTCAGTGGATGACTTTCTGAAAGGAAAAATACCAGCAATTAGTCTGCTTGGACCCATCTCCCTCACCAAATTCTCCTCTCTTCTGTCTACTTCCGAACCCATTTTTTTAAGACACTGTTTTACATTTGCAACCCACATACTCATACTGTTCAAACACGCAAACCCCATCTGATGGTGTACATTAGTGTTTACTCACACATATTGTCAGACTGTTTTAAAGAGGCCTCTCTGACTCTGCCCCTGAGATCCCATCACAGCATGCCTCTCTCTCACATGCACATTTTTCATATATTTCCACTCCTGCATGTAAAGAACAAAGGAAAATGGGATAAAAGCAATTTTGAAAGAATGTAGAAGACAAAGACTATGGAGACAATGGGTTGGTGAGTGGGTTGAAACAAGAAATGATTAGGAAACATGTAAGAGACAACATGGTACGTGATTGATCATCAAAGATGAATCAGTAGCTGGCACCAGTGTGAAATACTGCTTTCTCGTCACACCAGTTACCTTCCCCATACAAAGCAACGAAGTCAGGTGGTCACTTAGGCAGAGTGCCAACTCAAAGGAGCACTTTAGACCATCCACTTTCCTTAGCCCCAGGCAACTGCAGGTGCTGGAAAAGCAACAGGATGTAGAAAAGAGACCAACACTAGCAGCTAGGGGCATTAGGTTTTAGTCTTGTCTATGAGGCAGACAAACTATGACAGAACAGAACAAGATGGACATAAGCTTTCTAAGCCTCTGTTCTGAACCTGAAAAACAATGGGGGAGACAGGGTAAGGGATAAATCTGCCAAAGCTATTGTCCATAACCGTGGACACGGTGGCAAGCAACCCCTGCACTATTGAAAAGCTTATTGCTCCCGGTATTGGTTAGCTTTACTGAGTGGATGAAGCCATTTGAAGGCTCACCTGGAGTCCTGGCACCTTGATGTCTTGCCAGACCTGCCTGCAGCAGGGACTCTGCTTTCTGGCCACAGCAATGTCCCTTGTGGAGGTCACTCACCTTCTCTCAACTTGCCAACCACTCTGCTTCCTCTAGGCCTTCAGCAAGAGGTCCCATCCCCCTGTCCTTAGCGTGTAGAGAGAGAAGATTCTGGACTTGATTACATCCAGCACTGCAGAGAGTACGATGCACTTAATGAGGCATATAAATGCCTGGATTACTGGAACTGGCAGGGGAAAGGGACAGAGAACGCAAACAAAGCCAAGGAGGAGGGGGGATGCTGCAGAGCGAAAAACAGATTTCTCACATTTTATCTGTGAAATTGAAGCGACACAAATTAGTTACATTAAGAGTTAAGTATCAGGCATAGGGACAACTCATAAGAATCTTGTCATCGCAAATGAAAATGGCAAAATATTCCAGTTAAGGCAACATCTGGGCTCTGGGGTTTTTCTTCAGGCAACTCTCAAACCCCCTCAGAGCAGCCATGACTACAGCCTGCCTCAGCAGCTCCTGGAAACCATGAGGGCAGAGTCTATATTTTCTTTTGCTAATGGCCATTCCTCCAGAATAAACACACACATCGGACTGGCGCTGTAAGCTGGCCTTCCTTCAGCTAGAGTCTGTGCCAACCAGCTGCTCCTATCCCCTGCCCTTTGCTGACCTCCTCCCCACATGTGCCCATGGGCAGAGCCCTCAGTAACCCTGCCTTTATGCCCCCACCTCCCATATACTCCTGCCTCTACCTTCTTCTTCTGTTCCTTTGTTAAGGTGTCTGAACAACCACGCCTTTGCCTGGGTGGCCTCGTCTGGGAAATAAAGAGTGAATGCAGGGATCAAGGAGTCTCTTCAGTGCACCATCTTTACACAGCACCCCATGCCCCATGTCTTCTCTTCCCTTCCCCACTAGGCTTCTAAAAAG